TAAATTTTAAAACTTTAAAAGCTGACCACGTGGCACTGTGTTGAAAGCGGAGGGTAATTCATGGAGGGCACACACTGTTGTACTCTTTCCTTTATCCAGTTGGTGAACTAGTATAGCCAAAATGTCTGTGTTTTGGGACCTTCTGACGCCGAATTAGAGAGTGTCAAGTTGGGAGTAAAGTTGCACGTTACAGATGCACCATAGTTGCCTGAGACAAAAGTGTGACGCAGATTAATGTATCACTCCATTGGTCCTACGGTCAGAAGATAAGAGTGGTAATGGTTTAAATCGAGAACAGATAGGAATTGATGTTTTCGATTTTGACCCCTTTGTTGCAGGCGTAACTAATTTCTTGATCCATGGTTAAAGATGCAAAAACATACATGGCTGTTGGATCTCAGAAACTGGTCATTTTACCTTGACGATTCCACCGTTTTGGTAACAAAACGCTGCGTCCGCAATAAAGATTTGTTCGATTCGCCGCTTCTGTTACTGTCTTACCTTTAAATATTGATCAGAAAATTAGCTAAACCTATAATCCTCAAATATGGGATGTCATTTTAAGTAATACATATGGATTTTGTTCTCTACCGTGATAAGTCTCTTCTAATGATACTTTAAAGTGGCAGGCGAAAAATGCTCGTCTTCCTTGCGGTCAGAAAACTCGTGGCCTAAAAACAATTGGAGCATGGCGACTGAGAAAGGATTGCTGCACTGAACAGATCGGTTCTTTTTTTTCACGCCCTCAAAAATTTGTCATGTGTAAACGTCATTTATAACGTTTATTGTTTCAGAAGTTTTATGCAAATGTTGAGTTAATCTGGGTCTGATTCGTCAGAACACGGTACTGCAGTCAAAAATGCACTTATTGTAGAAATGTTTTATCCCACCATCCCTTAATTTAATATATATTGTTGCCTCCTCACCAGTCCGCATCAATTTCTGTAGTAGAAATTCTGTTTCTATTGCTGCCATAGTTTATTCTGTGCTGTATTTAAAAAACGCGTCTGTTGCACAAACTGAATGCTATGCCTTGATTATCTTTGTCAGTAGTGCCGCTAGTTCATGTAATTGAGGAAAAGAAAGAGGAAGAACCATCGGGATGTCGGTGTCCGTTACATTTTTATAATTGGGGCCACTTGTGGCGCTGATGTCCGCTTTTTTGTCACCAGCTAAGAATGACATATTTTAAAGGCAGAGTCTGCAGCCACGTGACAGTCATTACCGTGCAGTTTCCAGTTTCCTTCCCACAGGGCGATACTGATTTATCAACCTCAACAGAAAGCAATGCAAGTGACTGGGGAGGGGTTCGAACCCTTGACCTCTCCGTTCCGAGTACGTTGTACCGGTTGAGCAACCTCGTCCACTAGAGTGCTAGAGAGGATGCATCGATCATCGTACTACACATTATTTGCTATAGATGGGGGACAGTGCGCTATGATGTGTTTTAGCAAGAGATTCTTAAGCAAGTCTCTTGATGCTTGAACGGAGAGCTTGAGAAACAGTAAGTAAGTAATTAAGGCGTATGGCACTCATATCCATGAAGGAAGTCTCTCTGCGATGTCGATTTATAGACCCGTGGCAGACTTGTTTGACTGTTCTTCCTGCTACGATAGTGCATTCCAAAATTTTGCGCTTTGGATGCCATCCTATACCTCAGTCGATGTCTTCTTTCCAGAGCACGCACCGAGATGTGATTTATATAAAATACAATCACTAGGTAATGTAATAAATGGATATATAATCGTGTCATTGAGTGTAGTTGAGTAAAAAGGGAGGAAATTAACAATTGCGAGTACATAAGTGACCAGTTGAATAAGTACCATGTGAAAATTCTGTATGCGTATTCTTGATTTCCCTGTCATATCTGTACAGTACATCTCCATCTGTAGGTGAGAGTGTCTTGGTCACTTGGTGAGAATTGTTAGTTTATTATGAAACTCTAATATTACATTAGACGAAACCAATTGTATTTTGTAATCATACTGAAAATGTTAATATCGGTAAACTACCTGATTGACTACCTTTTGCGTTGTTTGTATAATAGTGAATTTCTGTATTATTTTTCAAATCCCTTTAGTCGGCCAACTTTACAGAATCGATCGTCATAAGTCTTTGCATAAATCTTCCAAAACCGTACTGTGCAGTTTCTTGCACCTTCAATTGCTTCCACTCACCTATCATTTATACAGTCCAAGAGATCATGTAATTTCGATACTTGCAGTGTAAAGTGAATATATATGATTTTACTTGCTGTAGTTGGGGGGGGGGG